TCCATTGATATAAACTAATGTGTTTGAAATCATAAATTGAAGCAGATATTCCGCAAAATCTGTTCTAAAAACCTCACTTAGATAAGGTAATTACGCTAATTACTGCCATTTGTAAACGTTGAAATTATAATTACGTTTTACATAATGACTCTTTGACGTTTTTGACCCTTTGTCATAATACACATTATCAACACAAAAGCCGGACGCGTCTTTTTAACAAACGGCATGTTTTAAATCATGACATATGCATTTCTTCAAATGTTGAATATCACCTTTCCCCAAAGTCAGCTCATGAATATTATAATTAGCAAATCTGACATCTCTGACGTCAGAGTAGGGCAGATTTTCGCGGGGAAATCTTAACACATTAGAAGTCAATGTGAATCGTGACGGAAACGGGTTAATTTTATTGTCAAATCATGTTGAGTAGTAATAATATTTGATAAATGTCATGGAATTTAATTAATTATACTCACGTCTATATTCCCCCTTCTTTATATTGTTCTGGGGAATCAAATGAATAGAGAAATATTAATGTGAGGAGTCCAATGTTTCCTGTACATTTTCAAATTACGCCGACTGTACAAGACCCCATGTTTAGTTCTTGACTGTCAAAATGTCAACATCCCATGGTAATCCTAAGTTCGTGTAATATTTTCTCATGGGGTGAAGAAGAGGATACCGCTTAACCTTGAAGAAAAAGTATTGGACTCTCAATTTTTTTTTTTTTTTTTTTTTTATTTATTTATATATTTATACAAAGAATACAGTAAACAAGTGCACATGTGCTTGTGGCTGGGCATCAGCATTATCAGCCACGTTATATGATGAAAATCAATTAACAGTATTCAATCAATTATTAAAATAGGGGTTGTATTTGTGGAGGGTTACAGTGGTGGGGGTGACCTAGACATTTTTACATCGTTCAAAAAAGATGGCACTACATTTGAGGATATTTAAGTTTACAGCTTTAGGTAGCCTTTTATCGCCATTGAGGATAAGGGAGAGTTTGTCTCGTTGTGATCTATATTTAGTAGAATATTCTATGTTCATATTTTTTAATTCATTTTCAAATTCTGTCCAAAATGTTGATCTTAGATTACAGTGAAAAATTACGTGATTGGTTGTTTCACCATCCATTCCACACTGGCAAATGGGGGAGTTTATATTAGTGAAATTGTGAGCGTAAAGGTGAGCCTTAAAAATGAGATCACAGCGCACTCTATTGAAAATTATTTCTTGTTTTCTTGAAACGGAGAGATCTGATGAATTTGTAACATCGTCATTGAATAGATCTATTTTAAGTCTGGATTTGAATATACTAAGGGTAGGTAAATTTCTTATTTCAGGTGAAAGCTTATTCCATTCAGTCAGTGTTTTTGATATGCAAGATCTATTAGAAAATGAGGATTTATTAGGAATTGTGTAGCTCAGTTGATTTCTTAGACCATAAGCATGGTTTCTTTTGAGAGGCTCAAATATGTTAAGAACATAAGAGGGCTGCATATTATTATGTGCCCTATACATGAAAATGCTTCTGTGATATTGACGCCTCTTTGTTAATGTTGGCCAATTTAAATTATTCAACACTTTAATTGTCGAAGTCCCATGTAGAGTACCTGAACAAATGCAAGCGGCTTTATAGTAAAGTCGATCTAATAACTGTAATTTTGTTGTGTTTGCACACCCATATAAAATATCACCATAGTCAAAAAGTGGCAGGATAAAAGATTTAAAGATTGTTTCGAGATGTTTTCCATTTATTTTCTGACAGAGCGCTTTCAGTGGATTTAAAAGTTTGTCTATTCTTGCACCAAGTTCAGTTATGTGAAGGTCAAAAGTGAGATTTCTGTCTAGGATTAAGCCTAAGTGCTTATGGCTGTTTACTCTTGGTATAATGTCGTTTCCGAGAGAAAGATCTATGGTCAAAATTTCACGTTTCTTTGGATTGCAAAAGGTCAAATCTTTGCTTTTAGAAGCTTTAAAATTTAATTTCCATACTTCAGACCATTGAAAAATATGGTTGAGATCCTCCTGTAGGGCATTGTTCATTTCAGTTGCTGTTTCAGCTGTGAATGACTGGTAAATTGAGGTATCATCTGCGTAGATGAAACATTTTGAATTCAAATTGTCAGGTAAATCATTGATATAGATCAAAAATAAGAGGGGCCCCAGGATTGAGCCTTGAGGAACTCCGGAATTGATATAACCCTTTTCAGATAAGTTTGACTCATGACCATCTAATACCACCTTCACTTGTCTGTGTAGTAAATATGATTTCATCAATTCCAGGATATTCGGACCAAAACCAAACATTTTCAATTTTCCTAATAGTAGCCCATGGGGCATTGAATCAAATGCAGCCGAAATATCAAGATATATCCCTCTTACATTAGCCCCATTTTCAATTTCATTTGTTATGTGGTCAATAATACTTAGAAGTTGTGCCTGTGTGCTATGTCCTGGCAGGAAACCACTTTGAAGATTGTAAAATAAATTGTTAGAAATGAGATGATCAAAGAGTCTTTTAAAAATAATGCGCTCGGCGACTTTAGAAATACAAGACAGGAGTGTTATTGGGCGATAATTTTTCACATCTGTTTTATCTTTGTTTTTATGAATAGCTACAATATGACCGACCTTCCATAGTTGAGGATATTGATTCAAAGTAAACATTTTGTTAAGCAGTTTTGATAAAATAGGTGAAAGTGATGGTGTTGCCACTCTCAAATCTGGGCCAACGGTGTGTTATTTTCACTTACGTTTACCTATTATACCACATGGCAATGTTACTTTTATGTCTGCCAAAGAATTTGACAATGGTGACATGAGTGATGACTAATTTCATTGAACAATGTTAAAGCCGTTCATGTATGCTTTGAGACAATGTACCAGAGTTGCTTGTTTTACCCACGATCGTCTATTTGAAGAGATTTATCTTTTGAAAAGCCCATGAGCGTTCATATAAGTATCGATCTTTTTAGAGATTTTTCAGGATATTTTTGGACGTAGACCTACAAGAGAGAAACTCATGCAATTCAAACCCGTAGTCAGGAATTACCTGGGGGAGCGGTTTTACCAAGGGGGGGGGGGCTTTTTGACAGATTTGGCAAAAAAAGATCATATAAAAAGTGCTCAGAATGATGAAAAACTGCATAATTTTGAACGAATTTCTGGCCAGGGGAGGGGGAGAGCCCACTCCTTCCGCTCACCCCCCATCCCTTGACTTCGGGCCTGTAATTAAGCTTTGAATTGTAATTAAAATGCAATCTACTACAGTATGATGAATATTAGTTACTTCAACATATAAATTCACCATGACCAATTGCAAATTATTTCAGGGCAACCCGATGAGAAAGATGCAAGTGGACTCTGACATTTAAAACTGTTCTTCATATATTTTTTATTAGAAACATAATGAACTATTTAATTGAATAATCATGATAAATGTTATATATATTCCTAATCCATACAGTCTTAGCTTGTTTGAATGATTGTCAATCTTTGGTCTGCGTAGTTGGAGTCACTTTGTTAAAAGATGAGCAATCGTATCACAATTATTTCTATGGTTTGATTTACCGGATGGTGTATTTAAGACACAGCCTAAGACAAAATAGTCAGAAAAATATATTTCACTTAGTTTTGTTATCATTTTATAATGAGATCTATTTTACTCATTCGGCGATCAGGAGGAGTGAGTAGCTCCCATAATTCTTTCATATTCTATCGTATTCGGGGATTCCCCATTACATCATCTCTTGCATCATCTCCAATCAAATTGCAGGATTCGATCACGTGAACAATCATGAGCATGTGCTCTCTCAGTATTGCGCATGCGCAGAGTTAAATTTGAAATCGTGGGAATGGCGTTAACATCAGTTCAACATCATCATTTCAAACCTACGGTAATACTATTGAAGTTACTTGATCCATACTTGTAGAGAATACTCATAAAACTACAGTGAACATTTGGAGATCCATTTCAATGGCAAATTGAAGCCTGTTTATAAAATTTGTTTTCGAACGTGCTAATATGATAGGGCATCTTTGGGAAATATCCCCCCCTGTTCGGCGATGTAATAGTAATTGAAGTTTTGGCGCGAATTGTGCCCTGCTTTGACGTCATTGATTTTCATCGGCCAATCAGCGCAGCTGTCAAATGAGTACACACTTTGGGGAAAGGTGATACTTCATATTCTTGAGACATTAAAAGTGCCCAAAGAACAGTATAACACATGCCACTGATCCCAACCTTTTGATATAGAATTCTTTAATTCAGGTCATCTAAATTCAAACAATATATGAAATATAGAATTAATTACATGTACTTATAGTGTGAAACGATCAAAGATAGCGACATGCGTCTGACACACTTTAAGATCAAAACCCATCGATAATTGCATGTATAGTGCAATGTACATGTACATCTTATGCCTAACACCATGTTACAAGTGTACAACAATTGTAAAGAAAAAACAAATGAAATACAGTGAAGAAACAATAAAAGCACAATTTGACCCTAGTCTTTACGTCAATCTGACATAGTTTCACTAGAAATATGGTCTGATATTTTGGGACATACATTTACTCATTGACATCCCTCGCCGAAATGAAAGATCTTAAAATATCTCAAATTGCAATTGGGTCTCTCTTAAATTGACAAATCGAGTCCATTATATCATATGGCAATCGCCAATCATGGCTGAAAAAAATGAGATGTCACCATGACTTATCGTTATATTTGAATGTCATTGACTGGCTGTACTTGTTGAACAATTGTTATATTTTCAGGTGAACGTGATTTTTTTCTCACTGGGAGTGTTTCATTGTTATACATTTGCACAAAACATTGAAAATACACGCTTCGAGTGTTTTATCAAATGATAAATTGTCTAGAAGTTGGTAACATGGAGTTGAAAGTTATGTTATCAACAAAATCAAGAACTTTTTTTTATCATATTAAATAAATTGCCTGAATAGTTATTTTTGCTCCTAAATTGCGCCTTTGTTTTGATTAGACGCACATCGGTGAAGGTGAGACTGATTTAAACATATTCACAACTCGATTGAGCAATAGTTAGGCAAAAACGGCATAAGGTAAACAAACGATTGATTTTTCATATTATGTAGTGTTAAATATATTCAAAATGAGTACTGAAATTATCATATCGAAACTGTTGTAGCATCTATAATTGAAAACAAGATATATTTACTTACATCTCCCAGAAAGGCTGTAAATATAATCTGTATTTTTATAAACGGTGAGATAAAATACAAATATTGGAACAAACGGTTGACGGAACGTCATGCATATACATGTTCATTGGCGATGACCGTAGATGTTCCAAGTAAACGTGTCATATAAAGGCGAATGCGCTTTAATTCTTTCAACAAATTGTATTTGAAAGATGGCGCTTGGTATCGCCGTTTTGTTCTTGACTGCGGTTGCGCACTCAGCATTGGGTCGAGAGCCTTTGCCAGATAGAGAAACTCTCACCAAACTCCTCGATGAAATAGACAATGCAGCGGTTTCTATGGCACCTTGTGGGAATCCTGCCCCGGGCCTGCTGAAGATACGTCACGGGTAGGCTAACTTTTAATCGGCTGATTATCAAATGCGATCGTATTTGTTTTTGACCTACATTTTGCAAATGTCACTCCCTCTCGCTAAACTATTTTGTATAGGATGATTACGCAATAATCTATGTTGGTGTTTATAATTTGAAAGGTTTAATTTCCAAATATGACTGTTCACTGTTCATATTGGGATGTGCTACTGTACATTTCCTTTTTAACGTGGGAGTCGATTGGAGAAATAATCGAGACATTAGTTAAGAGAGTGTTTTGATTATTAGGTATTCAGATAAAAAATATGTTCGGATTCGTTCCACTTTATATATTCATTTAACCTGCATACATACTGAACAATCGTTTACAAACTAAGGTATGATTTGGGATACATGGACCAATTACCGCTGTTTGTTGGAGAAAATGACGGAACTAAAAGAGTCGCCTTGGATTTCACCTGTACTGAAGGCAAAAAATGGCAGAATCCTTACAATGGCGTATGTGTATAATTTTGCGTCGTTTTTGTAAAATATATCTCAGAAACTTGTTTTTACTTGAACAACTGGACAACGTTTTATGATACTTTACTTGAATAAACATTTTAGACCACAATCAGACATAAGAAGGAAGACAAGCTTTTTTAAATTCATATTTTAAATTTCAGATCCAGTACGACCTACCGGATCAGATCACAAACATGGTTAGCTTGCCCAGAGGTATAATGCAGTTTGACACTTACCTCTGGAAGGACTACAACGAAATCAAACGTGATTGGTCGTCAAATGTGAGATTTCTTAAGATTAAAATTAAGTAAATTGCTGATCATGTATTGTTAACAACATTTTTGTTTAAGAAATATAGACCAAAGTGCAGGGGTAATATTGTCGAATACACCCCGCAGGGCTAGGCACAAACGTTTTCTGTACCCTTAACGACCGAAGGGAGTGAGGGGTTTGAAAGCTTTTGCGCCTAGCCCTAAGGGGTGTATTTGACGATATTACACCTGCTCTGAGGTCTATTTTACGATTCGAACATGGAAACTCACTGAAATGTTTCGAATATTCATTATGGTCCGCCATTACTATGGTCCGCCGTTATGACGTCACACATACGTTTTACCAGGGGCAATGTTCGCGAATATACCCCGGGTGAAATGTTGACTTTGTTTACAGTTTATAGAAGGCGTGAATACAGTCATGTTCAAATTTCATTTAGATTAGAATCTATTAAACCAGTCAAAAGACCTTACTTCGTGGACTAATATATTTGAGAAAGTATACCATTTTAAGAAGAGCGCAATGTTCTATTCTATATATTAATTGTACATAAGAAAGGATTTGTGTTCATAAGGGAACGTCAAAAAATGATTCCAACAACATTGTAGAAGATTGTAAGGTTAATGAACCACACAAAGGAACAAAGTCAAAAGAAGACATGACATGTATATCGTACCCAATCTTTATATGCATGTAAAGAAAAGATATAGAGCTACCATTTAGTAATTTCAGAACCGAAATAGCAACCCATAACATGTCTACTTTCTAGACTGGTTTAGACATAACAGACGGTGCATTTGGCTTTAGTTCCTCGTATAGCAAGATTAACCAATCCATAACCGATAACTTCTCTATTTTCTAGACTGGTTTAGACATAATGGACGATGCATTTGGGTTCAGTTCCTCATATAGCAGGATGCACCACTCCATAACCGATAACTTCTCTGTTTTCTAGACTGGTTTAGACATAATGGACGGTGCATTTGGGTTCAGTTCCTCATATAGCAGGATGCACCACTCCATAACCGATAACTGCTCTACTTTCTAGACTGGTCTAGACATAATGGACGGTGCATTTGGCTTTAGTTCTTCATATAGCAGGATGCACCACTCAATAACTTCTCTATTTTCTAGACTGGTTTAGACATAATGGACGGTGCATTTGGCTTTAGTTCTTCATATAGCAGGATGCACCACTCAATAACCGATAACTTCTCTATTTTCTAGACTGGTTTAGACATAATGGACGGTGCATTTGGGTTCAGTTCCTCATATAGCAAGATTAACCTCTCCATAGCCGATAACTGCTCTATTTTCTAGACTGGTCTAGACATAATGGACGGGGCATTTGGCTTTAGTTCCTCATATAGCAGGATGCATCACTCTATAACCGATAACTTCTCTATTTTCTAGACTGGTTTAGACATAATGGACGGTGCATTTGGGTTCAGTTCCTCATATAGCAGGATGCATCACTCCATAACAGCACAGAAGAAGTTTGTAGAAGATGTCACCAGTTTTGTATCTGGATTCAGAGCGGACTACAAACCACCATGGGAACTTAAGGTAACGAACATAAGTTAAGTTACATGGTCATTCGGAATCTCAATCAAAGACGTCACTAGAGTAGTTTTCTTTTGTGGAATCAGTGCCAGACAGCAAGAGCGTCATGAGGTGCTCATTTTTCTTTTAAGTAAGCAGCGGGAAATCCATCATAACTCTTACTAGCAAACTACAAGTAATATCACAGTATGTATCATGTTTTTTACCATACATACTCGTTTTTTACGTTGCGTCATCCTGTGAGTCGAAAACCAAACCAAATTTATGTTGGTATATGCCAAAGAACACTGGCATGTAGCGATTATAGCGGTCCTGTCTTGGCTTATTGAATTGTTACGAAGTTACGTATGCGGTGCGGAAGTTAGAGAGCAAATGACCATCATTTCAATGTAATAGTTTATGCAGGAAAATTGAGATTAGGCCATTGGAGTATTTGTTTCATGCATTTGTAAAACATTACCCACTCATAGGTCATACTTATCGTTAAACCAATAACTCAAATATATGCCCTTGTACACCGATCACCTTTTGAAATTAATACAGGCCGATTTCAACAAATGTAAACGGCGATATATTTAAAATCGTATTCAAGTATGACCACGTCCCAACTTCTTTTGTTTTCTTTACAACTAAGCTATGACTGCAGTCTATTCAGTGTTGCGTATCGAACCTTGTTTATTATAAAAATAGTGCAACAACAAGCAGAATTCACACATTTACCTTACACTTATTCTCAACTGAAGACATTGAATTTATCTCTTAGGTTTTACATTATAAATATGTTAAGATGCAGAATACGAAATTAGAGGCTTAGGCCCAACTTTGTATGAATTTTATGAGAATAGTCTGATTTTAGAGAAATGAAAAGAAAAATGTCCACACCCTACACAAAATATTTATGGTTCCCCGGGAATACGTATGTGCTGCTTGTATATTAGAATCGTATTCCAGTTACAGAAAGAAGTACATATCATGGTAAACTATATACAACAGTTATGCACTTGGAGGTTTTGGATACAGGGAATATCCCGAGGGATATATAATATATATCTTCCCTTGGTCCCTTCGGTCCCTCGGGAAGATATATTGTATATCCCTCGGGATATTCCCTGTATCCAAAACCTCCAATTGCATAACCCCTATATATTGGCCAAGGGATAATCCCAATATCCTGAACCGCGACTATAGGATAATATGTTTATCCCATACCAATCTTGGTCATCTGGTTCACATTGTTAAATCGTGGAAACATTTTAGAATATTCATGTCCAGTTTTGTTTTCTTGGCCGTGGGCGGATTTTCATGTTCTCTCAAATATTCCCATATTTATTTTCTCGAATTTTTTATTGATTAAGTGGATGCTCTTTCCTTTTTTTTAACTATCAAACAGACCCTGATTGTCTGTGTTTTCTCCATTGCCGTTTACAGTCATTCCGCGAACGTTACAAATTATGAACAAATATGCAAGCGGCGATTATGACGTAGCGGGCAGATATACTATATCTGCTCGCTTGGAGCGGGACGTAAAGCTTTATCCCATGGTTGCAAGGAGGATATAGATCGAATATCACATGATGATATATTTGATATGTGGATCAAGATATCATATTTAAGCAAACAATTTACAAACCATCGAATATCACTTTTAAACTATCGAATATTACATCTTAAATAGAGGATATCCTATGATTTATGAGTGATATGATCTTTATCCACGAATGGATATGATATCTGCACGAGTGATATTCGATGGTTTCAAAAGTGATATTCGATGATTTGGGAATTGTTTGCTAAAATATGATATCTTCATCCACGTATCAATTATATCTTCACGTGATATTCGATATATAAACTTGTAACCATGGGATAAATAAGGGTTATGTACTGGGAGGTTTTGGATATGGGGTTTTTCCAGAGGGAGATATGCATATCTACCTGAGGGACCGTAGGGACAGAAAGTAGATGTGCATATCTCACGAGGGATGAACCCAATATCCAAACCGACCGTACATAACTGCTTTATCCTATACCAAGTAGAGTTTTCAGTAGTACAAGGTGTACAAAAAATAAACAAATCATTCATATGCAAAGTCATTTTATTGCATTTCCACTTTTTTTGAAGCGGGAAGATACGCCGCGAAGCAGGAAGATATGCACCGAAGCGGGAGATATGACGGGAGATATGGAGGTTCTTGATATGGAAACCTCAAAATCAGGATACGGGATATATCTTACCAACTTATCTCCCTAAAACCCTACTTGGCATAGGATAAATCAAGATAATTTCTACTCGCATCCAGTCTATTCCACATGTTTGGGAAAAGTGTACAGGAAAATCTCCATGTTCAATTGATGTATGATCAATATATACGAATCGAATGTATTCTCGTGTGCATTACAATATCCACATTGAAACATTTTTGGCCTGCAATGGACGTATAATGAATTAGAATATGAGGCCGTGTTATCATTCTAATGTAAAGTCATGGTATTTACTGTGGTATTGGGTTGCAAGTTAATATCAGATTCAATGCAAATTAATCATCTAATATCAGATGCGCGATCAGTCCAATAATCTAATTTCAGGTCATCAGTTCGATATCTAGCACTTGTTCTAACGACACGGTATTACTAGGCTATCATATTATAAATACACACACATATAAAACAATCAAACTGGTACACGATATAAGCACGACTGCTCTTTCAATTGAGTATAAATGTTGATAAACTTTCCCGGAAGCCAAGACATACACGTTTAGACGATGCTATTTTCAGTTCAGTGTAAGAGTAAATGCCCGGATATCGAGGCTTTTTCGTGTAAAGTTTTAACCAAGCATCTAAAATCGGGTTATATTGCGTGTAGAATTTATCGATATCAGGGCCGCTACATGCCAGTGAAAGAAGGTATAATGAAAATTCGTTAAAAAGCTTACACATATGAAGAGAACATGGGTTAATTATGTTTACTTGTAAATTGCAACCTAACCCTGATCCCAAAGCATCCATCGACAGATTCCACCCTAATGCATATGAAAGGATTTGATAATGTTTAATTGTGAATTGCAGCTTAACGCTGGTGCTCAAGCATTCATCGACAGATTCCTTCCTAACACATATGAAGAGGATATGGACGCTTGGGATGAATTTATCAACTATTATGGAACTCATTACTACGAGCAAGGCAACTTTGGAGGTAACCATGGAAACTAAATGAAACTATGTTACTTAGATTACATACTTTGTTTATCAATAGAATTCAAAATTTGATAAGTATATTGCATATAATGGAAGAAGGAGGTAGGAGTTCTAGAGGCCAGTATTTGGAGGATAATACGTAATGAGTATAAGTGAATTAAAATTTGGCGTATCCCAAAAAGATGTACTCAGACATATAGAAATATATATTTCATCGATCAATTGTTATGTTCTTTTCACCAAGAATGAACTGTTTTTCCTCCATATTTCTTGTTTATAAGGTACAGTAGATTAGATAAAATTCATGCCAAATAACACTACGATTTCCTTCCAATAACTATAGTATGTCTAAACGCAATAAGTATTAACTCACTTCTAAACAACGTTTAAAAGGTGATGGCACTATATAAATGGAGAGAGCTGTGCGACAATTGATGACCTAGTACACACACTTTTTACGTTATATATAATAAGGGATTTATAAACACGCTGTATAGTAAGCGTGGTTGCGAAATCTCTCTATTATCTTTTGGTATTCTCAAGCATGACGTTCTCTCTCCAGGCTTGTTAAAGATGACGATGGAGACAGAGAAAGAGCTCGTGTTCCAAATGGGAGAAACGACAACCAAGCAAAATGCTGAGGCATGGTTCAAGTTGTGGATTGGAGTTCTCGGCGCTCACACTGACACAACAGTGAGAGTTGATGCCAGATTCAGAAACAGAACGAGTGTTACACAAAGGTATGGATTTGTTTAATAAGCATGGGCGTATTATCGCAGAGTCTAGTTATAAACGGAGACGAAGCTCTCTTTTAAGAAGCGTAGTCGGTAGTCGAACTAATGCAAAGGGTAAGCGCATTATGAAATTTTTTATCTTGTATTAAGAATATTGTCAAATATTTTGTATGTCTCGGCATTTTTGGTAAATAGTAATTTTACTTTATTGTCATTCCTTTTAATTAGTCTTTCTCTTTAAACACTTCCGAATCCATGATTTTGTGCTAGAGGGGGCGCTCATACGAGGCCCGATAGAAAGTAAGTAACCAACTGCTCTTATTTCTTCATACTTTATTCAATCACATTGAAATTTTCACAGATGATGTAGAAAATATTAACCTATTACAGAAGACCAAGGACAATTGGTTAGCGTCAATGCCATTGTTATGGCTGTTGCTATGGTGATGATTGTTTTGGGTAGGCGGGGCACCCTTTTGTAAGCGGCTTTGGAAAATGGTTTGTAGAGTTTTTTCCATACTGTATTCCTCCAAATGACCTAACATTTTTTATGCAAGACTGAACAATTTGTTTTATGTATTATCATAATGGTAACTACGCTCCATTGTCTCATTTTTAAGTCATTGACACAAGGAAATCAAGGGTATATCTGTCATAATGATGGTCATGATTCAGTCACAGTTTCAATCCAGTCAAATGTTGTTGAAGGGGGATTTTACTGGCATGATGACAATGGTCCACCTCCACAGAGCCAACGTTACCGAATATACAGTAGATTAAGCCTTTTCCATGGCCACACAACTACCCCAGGCTCACTTTTCCCCAGACCTGGCCCCACGTGACTAAATCCTTTCCAAATGCAAAGATGTTGTTACGGAGAGTCCGTTTGGACAGCAATACGGCCATCATTAAAGCTTTCAATGGCAGTTTGCAGTCATTGAATGGTGCCATGTTGCACTTCTTTAAGGATGGAGTTAAACATTGCCTCGACTGCATTGACTTTGGTGGAGATTGATTTGAAGGACTACGGTATGTGTTCAAATGCAGTCCTACATTTGAATTTGATATATTTGGAGGTATTACAACATGTAAAAAAACTCTTCAAATTATCTTCAAACGCGACTTAAAACAGGGTGCCCCGCCTACCCAAAACAATTGTCACCATAGCAACAGCAATAACAATGGAATTGACGCTAACCCGTTGTCCTTGGTCTTCTTTAATAGGTTAATATTTTCTACATCACCTGTGAAAATTTCAATGTGATTGAATAAAGTATGAAGAAATAAGAGCAGTTGGTTACTTACTTTCTGATCGGGCCTCGTACATCCCAAAATGCGCGACAATGAAACTCACACTATGGGAGGCACCCGACAAATGAAATTAGAGTGTAATTTTGGGTTATCTGAGTATTTTCAAGACACTTCTTACACTATTCTATCAGTATATTTTTTCGGATTTCGAGCGCCCCCCTCCACCTCCCCCTATAGATCCGCTATAGTTAATACACACTCGTATTGATGCTTAGAGAACTCAAAATGTCTTGTTTTTATTCGTTTTGATGTAAGCATATAACCATTCATTTGTTTCACGTAACTAATATTACATTTTGTTTTTGAAATATTTCCAGATATTTCGGCGGTCAGGGGAATTTACTTGACCGTCAGTTCTACAGTAAATGGGTGCCAACAATTGCTACGAATCCTTGGTTGTTTGCTGGTGACCTCAAGCCTTTGTCTCTTATGTTCCCACAAGCCAAGGCTGCCGGTATGAACCGAGCTACACAGGTAAATCATACTGACATTTTCACAACGTTTTCGTGGATAGTGTTCGGCGTTCGGCGTTTTGGAGATAAGCGTCTGTAACAAATGATAGGTGGTGAAATTTTGCATGTTAATGTTTTGTTCAATAATAATGTAAGCGCATGTATCAAAGGGGATATTGCAACAACAAAAAATACATTAAATATTTTAGTTTATATCACAAAAGCACAATACGCAAAAACATGAAGACGACAGTAATTTACAAGAAAAACAAATCTCAAGGTGCTCTTACACACAAGGAGTCTAACAATAGGAAGTTTTAACTTACGGAAGTGTTTTTCACAACCTAAACGTGAACGGAAAATACTTAAGCGATGCATTTGTATGGGTGATTTGTCATGAATACGTATAGGTTGGCGTTTCAATTTTTATGCACGCTTCAACTCTCTATTATCTCACATTCTATGTATTTAAATCCAGTTATTTGTGTCAGTTGTTTCCCTTTGCAATTCAAACATTAGTGTTGTGAAAAAGAATACATGTTTTAACACATGATATATTATTACATGTGACATGTAAATATGTAAACACAGCAATAACCATAAGGGAAACGTATATATTCACATTGGAAAATAATTGATTCGAACATGACTGTATTCAGCCTTCTATAAACTGTATGATCCTGTCCCTAGCCTCTCTGAGCTTACTCGGATTTAGAATGAAATAACTTTTGATTTTCTTTTAGAAGATACCCTGAAGTGTAGGAATCCAAAAGTTATTTTTTCAGGTTTGGGTAAAATCAATTTTTATGGCAGGTTATAGTGGCGCCATCTAGTGATTTTAAAGTTGCAGGGTGATAATCTTAATTAATTTTTTTTTCAGCCAAACCTAATTTCATATTTATTTTTTTGCTGTTTCCTTAGAGACTACTTCCTAAACTATGCATTTGAATTTTTAGGTGATCCTGGAAGGTCATTTGATGGGTCATTTTGCCTCAAATATACAGAAGCGCCACCTATAATCAAGGGTCTACCTTATAAAGTTTATTATTCTGAGGCTGTTATGGTAGATAAAATTGTTATTATTGGTGTAATAATTAGAACCATAAAGGGGACATATGATGCAGTATCAAATTAATATATGTGGGACATGGGAACTTAAAAATTTTTTTTTGTAAAAGTGGAAGAAATTTGACAAAATATCAGTTTTTACATATTACCAAATACATATGCTTTTTTATTTCTAAGGTAAACCTAACATGATGTAACAAGTAGAAAAATATATATTTAGACAAGTTAAGCTTATGGTTGACAATTACGGTTATTAATGAATACATTATAGACAGAATGAAACCATGCATAAAAGGCGCCATCTATAGAAAATATATTTTTCTATAAGTTTCATTTGTTTGTAAATCATGTATGATTTTTGAAGGCAAAGTAAGAAACATAGAGAACAATGACAAAATTGAAAGCAAAATGCGCTTTTAGCCTCCCCAAGTCTTCCTGACCATTTCAAATATTGTACCTCCTAATAGATACATGCTATTTTATGAAATAATATAACCATATTTCAGATTCAAAGTATATATATCCACAGCAAAACACTTGAACGTATTAACAGAAATACCTCTATTTTTTAATAAAGAATGCACTGCTTTGAATTTCTAGAAAATAGATGTGATTACGAATATGTCATAAATATTTTTGAAAACTGCTCCCTGATCTGATTCTACCTAAATTCCAATTCATTGTAAAATAAGAGACTAGAAAACAACTGTTACATTCAATTTGTTTTGTGATATTTGATTAAAACAGTTCATTTTATCAGCATAAAACATTAATTAAGCATTGCCTCCAAAAGTTCACTCTCTTTTAAAAAGGGATTTTTACATTTATTTGTTTGTAAACTTGTGCATTTGCAGAATGATATGCAGTGTTGCCCACTCTGTTTGCATCCACATGATGCCTGGCTGAAAGTTTTGCTTCGTTCAAAAATCTTTCAAAAATCGAGTGTTTCTAAGTACTTGGAAGCATCACAGATTTTAAATTGGATATGGCAAAATTTATGGTCGATTTAGATTAAAAAATAATCATTGGACTGTGCCAGTCAGCTTTTGTACCATACTGGTTCATTTCTGCTAGCTGCATGTACCAAGGGTGTGAAAGTGAAGTCTTCTTAATTATGGGAGCAGTTTCATGAACTTTATGGAATAAATTTTTCTAATTTTACAAGAATTCAATTTATAGAGGTTGTTCTTTATGATAGAAATTTTGATCCAATCCTCGATAGAGTCACATGTTATTTTTTAGATAAACAAGAAAATTCAGTTAGAAAATCCAGAAAATTTTCACAAAATGTTCTCACTGAATTTTCTAGTTTTTTTATATATTTTATCAAAAAAATCTTCTCTTAAAAGTGTTTCCTAGGTACATTAGTGCACTCTTTGTGCAAAACTGAAAGATGAAGACAATTTTGGGAAGGCGTGATTGATATCTAAAAATTAACATGTGACTCTATGGAGGATTGCATCAAAATTTTTATCATACAGAATTACCTTAACATACATGGTGTCAAATAAGTCCCGTCCCCCCCTCTACAGCCAAAACCAAGATATATGGTATCAAGTGTGATATATCATTGGATAGATTGTCCAAAGTTACGTTGATTGGCATATAGCTGAAACCTGTCAATCAATGTTACAAATTGCTACATTGTATCAATTGAGGTGACCATAGACCTAAAAACATGGCAATTTTACATATTTTAAGCAGGATTTTTAGAATCGAGCATCAGAAGTCAAAGGAACCCAAAATGTCAACATTTTGTGTTTGGCTGTAATTGGCTGTAAATTCAACCAATTTCTGGATAGGGTTATGTGTGATAAATTTCATCCAAAATACTTGAGAGTTGGTGAGTTAACGTAACTTTGGATGATCTTTCCAATGGTATATCACACTAGGTACCATCTATTAAGGTCTTGGCTGTAGAGGGGGGGGGCGGGACTTATTTGACACACTGAATAAGTACTTTTAAATTATAAATGATTAATTACCAATTTTACAGCATCTATCTTGCTTGCCAGAAGAAAATCCTGAGACTGCCTCTTGCTGTGCTTTATAAATGTGACATCTTCACCAAATCGCTTACGCAAATATTTGGTGACAAGTTGCCCTTGAACAGGGCTACGTCGAAGGCGGTCACCGATCTCTTTGCAAATCTCTGATACAGAGAAGGCTTTTCCTGTATTCAAGTCTTGTTGAATTTCATTGATGACATCATTAAATACATCATACATATTTGATTTATCATGAAGAGAATTTGAATCAGTACTTTTCTGGTATTTATGGCTGTATTGTTTGTAACAATAGTTATGGTATAAGAGATCAGCTTCAATCACTCCTTTCACATCAGTGAGGTGACAGGTGCTGGTATACACTTCATCCTGTAAGTGTTGGGTTTGTACAAGAAACTCGGTAGCTTTCTTCTCTTCAGAAATTCGGGATTTTTCATATGTTTTGTTTTTTTGTGACCTGATTACAATATATACAAACATTCTGGTATTTAGGTACATCAACAGCTTCAACAGAGGGCCTTTGTGGTAGGGAACATTTCATTTGTTTGGGTTGTGCTGTTGACGAATGAGGTGTATTTCCAACCATTCCTTCAATGGTTTCTTCAGTATCAGTTTCAGTTTCTTCAGTTTCTTCATTCCTTTGTGGAAGGAAACATTTCATTTGTTTGGGTTGTTCTGTTGAGGAATGAGGTGTGTTTCCAACCATTCCTTCAATGGTTTTTTCAGTATCAGTTTCAGTTTCTTCATTCCTTTGTGGAAGGGAACATTTCATTTGTTTGGGTTGTGCTGTTGAGGAATGAGGTGTGTTTCCAACCATTCCTTCAATGGTTTCTTCAGTATGCCGTTTTTGGGTGTATACTCTGTAGCAAGCATTGTTCATGTGATATAGAATAGGTGCGTTTTCAAGTTTGGCTACTTTCATACGTTGATAAACTTCATCATCTTTCATTTTGCTTATTCTAAGCAAGGTTGCAACACCTCTTGCTTGTCCCACAGTTGGCTTGACAACATTGCTGTTACTGTCTTTAAAATCATCTTGGCAGATAATACATTTTCCTCTTTCAAAGTTTATAGAAGCCATTTAGGAAGTTAACTGGAGAAGAAATAGATTGTTAGTGATTTGAAAATATTCAATCTCTGGGTCTCAAAAATACAGTCACAATTCAGGATCATGCATAGTTTATCATGTACACTGCTACCCACCTAATTACACAGACGTATCGTCGGTGTATCATGGCGGAACTTCCTCCGGGACAAGGTTTCGGTAACATTTTTTTATTTCCCGATTTACACCTACTTATAAGTCACGTTGTGGATAATAATTTGGCTCGAAGTTAAGGAAGATAGTCTAGTTTGAGAATGTGTCGATGGTTTTAGGTTTTATATGTTAACAAAGACACAATTCACGTATTTAGTCCCTCGCTTTTCTTACACTGACGAACGACCAATATCACTCTGACGAATCTTTGATTTGGAGCTGTTGCTTACACTGACGAACCATTTTAACATTTGTGTATACTAGGTAACAATTTCGTATGTATGGTCTATTTCAGAGAGTCATGGATCTCCCAAATACCTAGAACACTTTGCCAATATCATGATGTTCCCAATTTTTACAAAACCATGCAGTTTTCACCATTCTGAGCACTTTCGTATGATTTTTAGCCAAAATTGTGAAAAAAGCCAAAGCTCGTACATTGGAGATGTATCTCTGGCCATGGACATGTTTCTAAAACGTTACACGTATGTGTGTTGTCCACGGGTGTGGTCAAACGTACACAGTTTTGCATTGAACATGACCATTGCAAATGTCATTCTAGGGAGAACAATCCTTATCAATTATTGTGAACATACAAAGGAAAAGAGCAAGTTACGTATCTTCAACTTACCATCCCGTGCATCATCAATTAGTGAATTTAGGATTCTTATTTACGCAAAAAATCGATCATATATCGGCTAAAGATGATTGATCATCAAAATCTTCATCAACAGTGCAAGTGAATCTGATAATTAAAAATGAATTTAAAGCATTTCTAAATGTAATCTTATATGTTACATTTCAAATATGATGATACTTTAGTGAATTATAAAATAATCAATAATGCATTTGTTTTGTATAGTTGCTAGGTGAGGAGCTGTAATTGATGTTTTTCAAATACTTGACCCTCGCAAAAAGTTTCAGTAGAAATATGTTATTTTAGTGATTTTGTATGTTTTAGGTGACTTTGTAGAACATATTTTGCAATGTGTGAAAATAATTTAAGCCAAAGAATCAATGCATTGTGGAATGGCAATTCCTTTCAAGGGTTGTGTCCTAAAATTGACATTTGATGCAAGCATCTCGAGCAAATTTTGGAAAGCAACGTCCTTCAAGGAATGGTCATTCCACAATGCACTGAGTCTAAATCCTTAAACAGCAAACATGAAACTTACCCCACTAGTGTCCGCCATTGCAGTAGATGGCTCTTGGTCAACTACAATAAGAGCCAGTCAAAACAAATGTGATGATAGTTGTAGCAAAATAATGTAAATAAACTGCACACTCCCAATAGCGCTATCACATCAACCGCATGTTATATACTACGAGTAAATTTGGACTCCAATTTATTATTAATTGAGAATATGATGCCTGTTTTGTTTAAATATTTCGAGATGTTATGCACATATCATAATTACATAAAAATAAATGAAAGGATTTGATTCAATATCTCAGCTTCAGCTCACCATACATTCCCTTGGGCACCTGCCAGAAATCTCCGAGATTTGATAGAAACCTACATCCATAGGCCCGGGAACATGTATAAAAATATCGAGGCGATTTTTATAAATGCCACCGGTGTAAAAGGGTAGGAGGTCCTATCAATTTATGGTCCTACTCTTCATTGATTTTTATGGTGGCCTATTTCCCTTATTATCTTATACACAATCAGGGCCAGTAACAGCCTTTAAAAAGGGGACCATAATCCCTGGGGGACCATAATTTCTTTCACACCGGGCGTATGGCTACGTCCTATGTTCATGACATTCCTCAGATCAACTTTCTCAATAATATTATCCATTCGTCAGGGTAAGCAATCCTCTTCGTCAGTGTTATATTGGCAATATTAATGCCGATCGTCAGTGTAAGAAAAGCGAGGGACTAAATACGTGAATTGTGTCTTTATTAACATATAAAACCTAAAACCATCGACACATTCTCAAACTAGACTATCTCCCTTAACTTCGAGCCAAATTATTATCCACAACGTGACTTATAAGTAGGTGTAAATCGGGAAGTAAAAAAATCTTACCGAAACCTAGTCCCGGAGGAAGTTCCGCCATGATACACCGACGATACGTCTGTGTAATTAGGTGGGTAGCAGTGATGTAACTGGGTTCATTTTAGTTATTAACGTTAATTCGTTAATCCATATGCAAGGAAATTTGACTTTCAAAGAAAAGCTGGATGTGATCATATGTTTTATTTTCCTAGACACCAACTTACATTCTATATTAGAAATAATTTGAATCATTCTAAATATCATAATTTTAATTCTTCTATTTTGTCGAAGATGAGCAATCTTTATATCTTAAATAAACCTTAAGCTTACTTACTTTAATCACATTTTAATAATTTTGTTTCCACCAATTCAATACATGTTCATCTGTAGTCTCAAATATATACTAAATACAAAAACAGAGGTTAGTCAATAAGTCAATTATTACTGTTTTAAACAACCTTCATGCTAATAAGATGTAAATTACCCCAAATTAGCTGCCATGGCTTTTAACAGGAGTTTCAGTTTTGAGTTTGATATTAACTTATGATGGTATAAATATAATATAAAATTAGATCTAACTCCATTTGGGTGAGATAGATTGAAGGATCATTTTTTATTTGAAAAGTGTAGATACATCTTTTGAGAAGCTCTAATTTTATACAAAATGTTTCTGGCAAAAATTACCTGTAAAATAAAATATAATTTATTCTAAAAGTGCACACTTATGGAAATGATATGATTAATAGATGTTATACTCTATTAATACAAAGAAACTCAGGAAAAGCTTTTCATACATTCATTAAGTACCGTGTTGTATTTCCAGAAGTTGAGTCTTTGATATAATAAGGGGTGTATATCAAACACAGAATAATTAAATAATAATAATGGGCCAAAACCAAAATTCAGCCCTACAATTACTTCATTCATATTCTCAAAAATCAAAATGTATTTGTTTGTACTTGTTACATCATATAAGGATTACCTTAGAAATAAAAAAAGCATATGTATTTGGTAATATGTAAAAACTGATATTTTGTCAAATTTCTTCCACTTTTACAAAAAAAAAATTTTCTAAAGTTCCCATGTCCCACATATATTAATTTGATACTGCATCATATGTCCCCTTTATGGTTCTAATTATTACACCAATAATAACAATTTTATCTACCATAACAGCCTCAGAATAATAAACTTTATAAGGTAGACCCTTGATTATAGGTGGCGCTTCTGTATATTTGAGGCAAAATGTCCCATCAAATGACCTTCCAGGATCACCTAAAAATTCAAATGCATAGTTTAGGAAGTAGTCTCTAAGGAAAAAGCAAAAAAATAAATATGAAATTAGGTTTGGCTGAAAAAAAAATTAATTAAGATTATCACCCTGCAACTTTAAAATCACTAGATGGCGCCACTATAACCTGCCATAAAAATTGATTTTACCCAAACCTTGAAAAATAACTTATGGATTCCTACACTTCAGGGTATCTACTAAAAGAAAATCAAAAGTTATTTCATTCTAAATCCGAGTAAGCTCAGAGAGGCTAGGGACAGGACTAGTAAACAAAGTCAATGCTTCAGCTGGGTTATATTCGAGATCAAATCCCCAGCTCTGTACTAAGTATTTCGTTCAGTGCACTCATTTGTCAGTTTAGGCCGTTCCGTTCTTTTCGCATCCCCCTCTCGTCTGCAAAATTTAAAATGGCAGGGAGAAATTGTCCGGAGCAAAACTTTTCTGTCGAAGCATTTGTCAACTGTAATCTCAATAATTTCAATAATTATCAATGTAGTAATGCGTGAAACCAATAAAATATGCCGAAATGTCAATAAAAAGGTTAAGTCGGGGTCAGGAGGTAAGTAAACAAATTGGAACAGCCAAACGCTCAACCGGAAGTAGAAATGAAAAAAGTGAAAATAAACATCGAAATTGACGTTTTTGCAATTTTCTGGTGAGTTTTCATGTTCGAATCGTAATATAGACCTCAGAGCGGGCTACTCGCTCCCTTCGGTTTGTGCCTAGACCCTGGGGGTGTATTCGAAACTAGTAGCCCTGCTCTTCGGTCTATATTTCTTAAATACATTTCATTGAAAAACAAGCCTCAATATAGGTGACCTTCATGTTTCTGTAGCATGTAGTGACGCCTCAAACGACGACATCTCTCCCATTTTCTATGATAATATATAAAATAGGATTTGCCATCATTAAATAATTCCTCAGAATAAGCACATTTTCAGATAACGTACACTAAAAGAGAGATTCAGATCTAGCGAGCAGCCTAACAAAAAATCCTTTCAATTTTAGAATATTTCTGGCTTATGCCATTCCTATCCATGCCTATTTTCTAAAAATTCCCAAAGTGCACACTTTATTTCAGGAAAACCTCAAATTTTTACAAATAATGTATTATTTTCCTATAGGAATGGTTACCATTCTTATTATTTGGGAGAGTTTAAACATTTTTCATCCATTTTTGCACTTTGAATCCCTTATAACTTCACCAATTTATAACATATCATGAATCTTTTGGGAGATTTTGTATTTTATATCGTAAGGAATAGAGTAGTAGGTCAATTGTACACGTTGCTTGTATTTTTGTCACCCCATAGATCTGATTCTGCCTTTAATTTGAATGATAGGATTGGAACACATATTATTTTATAGGTAGCCTTGAATAAAGCCAGAGTAAACGAAATGAAAACTGCCATCAATGCTTACATCGAGGATCTACAAAATATGGGATTTACTGGACTTTGGTCATTTTACTGCAATGGGACACGACCAGATGCTCAATGTGATATATTGGATATGATAATAATAACGGTTGGATGTAGGGTTCACGGTTGTAGATGGTCTAACTGGCCCGATCGCCGAGATCAATATGTCCGTGAAGCTCAAGCTATTCTCCCTAGAATAACAGCAGGTACGCTTCAAGATCCGGAATATCTTGAATATCTAGTATCTAACTGCGCCCGGATAAGCAGATGCCATATCCTCGATTAAGAACACGCAATCTGATTCGCTGTCGCATCACTGAGACAGCCAGCCAAATCATTTCTTACATACTGTACCTTCCTGCTCAACCCGGGGCTCAGCTGCGCTTTTATGTTACTGCAATTCGAACCAAATTCTTTCAAAGCTTTCAAAATTCTTTCAAAAATCATTCAAATTATGCATGATCGGGAACATATTAGGTTATTTGGGATGATATATGTATTAATTCTTGCTTGCAATTGCAAATAACTATCAGTAGAAATTACATGCGCATGAAATCGATGCGCAGTCAAGTTGTGCGCACATATCTACATGATTGTATTTTGCTTCATTACTTGCTGACCCTTCTAATACTTGTCGACTCTATCCCTTTTAATTCATTTAAATAAGTTCTCATTTCTTAATTTGAGCGATACTCATTGTTTTCTCCTTGGATATACATTCCGTAAAAATGGATGTTTTTCGATGGGCTTACATTTTGCCACGTGTCAAATCCATGTGTTATCTATACGTACATGTATCTCATTCTAGAGGAGGCAAGGAAGGGTCGCAATGATGCTGGTGTTGCTACCTTGGGACGTCGTGTGCGATCTATTCTGTTGAAGATGAATACAAGATCTCCGTATGACACCAAAACGCTCATGCGAACTACACAAGTCTGTTACTGTCCCCGCGGATCCAGATGCCGCTGTGGAGTCAATGCACCTGGTGCAACTGTTAAAGCACCCAGACCATTTTTCACGTAAGTATATGAAATCGCATGTTTTTTTTAAAATACAGAATTATCAAATACATAAATGGGAAAATTAAAATGTTTAACCATATTAAGCTAGTACAATGGAGGTCTGAAAATTGTGATTAATACACATGAAGCGGAAAAGGACAAATTAGTTACCGTTGTAAAACTAAGGTCCCCACATTTTCGTATCCACTTGTACTAAGTTTGAATTTTGGGCGAAAATTGCAAAAACGTCCGTTTCCATAGCAAACATTTAAAATATGTAATATATATTTATTAAAAATAAACTTTATATACAAGACCATGCTTTCCAGGAAATAATCTGAGAAAAAGGTGACATTTTCAATTGTCTATGCACTGGTCTATGCTCGATTATGCTAAAATGTCGGAACGTTGAAAGTAAAAATCCCACGATATTTTTAACACAAACGTGTATCAGTATCATATGTTTAAGAAAGTGTACATATTTGCGAACACATAGTTCAGAAGACAACAGAATCGTCGATTTGATTCCTCACTTAAGTTACAGAAACGGTATTTCGAAAAGATCTGCACTTTTAATTCAAACCGTTTATGTAACTTAAGTGAGGAAATAAATCGACGATTCTGTTGTCTTCTGAGCTAGTTTTTCGCAAACATGTACATTTTCTAAAACATATGATACTGATACACGTTTGTGAGAAAAAACGTCGGGGGATTCTGCCTACAACGCTTGAAATGAGGAAAAAAGAAAAATCGTACCTTCGATGTTCCGACATTTTGTTACCGAAACGAACCGGTTCGGTAACCAGCGTAATCGAGTGGATCACCAGTGTTATGGATATTTATGTAGAACAAAAAATTGAATTGGTACAAACATTGAAAGCACTCTTCAACTTTCAGTGTACTGTGACTAAGAATGTATTTAGGTTTATAAACATGATACGGTCGAATACAAACTTTTGAATTTTATCGATCTTATAAAAACTGAGTATCGTTCCAGATTATTTTGATTTACTCAACAATTTTTTGTTTTTTACCTTTTCAGCAATTGGCCAGCAAGATAAAAAAAAAACAGACCATAAAACACAGTAATAAGCAAACAGTGCTACGGTATATTTGTTCCTTGGTTACTAAAATAAAGTTGAATTAAGCATTAAATTGATTTTGTTTTCACACTCTTCTTGTACATATTTTGTGTATGAACATAATTTTCGTATGTGATGTCGAAGGGTTTAGAAATGAAAAGGGGTTTCCATAGGTGACCATCAAATTGCAATTAATGAGTTGATATACATATCCCACACACTAATTAGTCACAAACTTTAAATCATCATGAAATTTCATCTGGACAAACTAGAAGCAATTTCCAGCACTTGATTTGCTTGAATTTCAATTTTCAAATTTTCATAGTCGTTTAAGATGAAGCACCTATTTTACATTTTTCACATTTTATGCTATATTTATGTATATTTGGCTTCCTGTAAAGTTTTTGAGGAGTACATGTATAAAAATTGAAACATTTTGAATAAATGTTAACATACATAACTTTTTAAGTAGTTGTCCAATACGTACTGTTGTTTAATGACTGGTAGATAGCATTATGAAGATAGTGGTTCATATACGCTTCACGGGCCATTGGAATACATGGCGGATATTTGGCTCGGTATCTCCCGTTTTTCATCCCCCTTGCCACTTCACTTCTTACAATGCATGTAAATCTTTACAAGTACATGTAGTTCTCTTTTGTATAATGATTTATAGGCATCGATATTTCTCTTTACCAAAAGTGTTGTGTTTACACGCTACAATTGTGTGGCCATATTCATCACAAGGCCTGCCAGGGGGATGCCACCGTGACTTATCTGGCTTTTACCTAGGGGGGACGTTGATATTTGTGTGGAATAGATTATGTTGCTCGAAGAGGGCCATGAATCCATGCAAGCAGCACTACAATATCCCTGAAGTCCGGGTAAAATAAAAGGAAAATTATTTTAATGAAGTGATATTCTCTCCAAAGGACCATCTACTTATTCCTTGTGAGCTATTCAATAATAGCAAAAGGTATCACGGTGGTATCCCCATGGCAGCCTCTGAGATCAATATGGCCACGCAACTGTAGGCCTGCAATCTGTTGAGGACGAATGTTTACTTGCTCTCAATGACGTGTTGGGTGAAATTATAAACAACACTGGTATACGCACGTACTACCTGTTGTCGACGCAAAATCACCGACCGCCAAGCCTTTTCATCATAATCAAAAGTCATTGTCCCTACCAGAGACATATATGTCTTTGTCCCTTCCAAAAAAACTCTAGAAACATAGCACTTTGACCAAAGTACAGCAATGCATCATTATTGATGTTTACACAAATGAACTGCGAAGCTTACTATTATACATGTAATTGATAATGTGTTGAAACATTGGTCAGAACACCAGGTAGCGCCCGGTGCATTGTTTTCAACAACTGAATGTGGGTTAAATTTTCGACGATTTCCATTAATTCTCACTTATTACATATACAGGGCGTTCAGTAAGTAAAGCTAATTTTGCTCTCAAACTTTTATTTTTTGTCATTTATCTTTCAAATTTTCAGTGAAGAAGCATTTGACATTTTTCTAACTACCCTGAAAAATTAAATAAGATATGATGAATAATAGCAAAACAATGGTTGTCATAGTAACGTGAATACGGGTTCTGCGGAGCAATTTCTTACTTTAATAAAAATGTTATTATGCAATGAAATTGATTAGGATTAATGCTGCATATGTCTTTGTTTGCTATGGCTGAAAGTCACGACAAACATAACAACAACATGCACAAATATGATACCATGGCAACAGTAGTCTATGACATCACAGACAGATGATACAACAGATGGAATGATCCAGAATGATCCATCAGACACTGCTCAGGTGCTGCGGCGCAATCTTGTGAACGCGATTCACAAGAAGAGGCCCCATAGGACTCTCAACTCCTACATATTCCATCAAGATAATGCGCCATCGCATAGGTCGCAAATGGTGCAGGATACTATCCAAAAAACGCTGATGGAGGTTCAAGGCCAGTCAGCGTATTCTCCTGACAAGGCACCGTGCGATTTTGGGGTATTTTCATGTTTGAAAAATGATCTGCGTGGTAAGATCCACGCAAATATCCATGAGCTTCAGAATGCCGTTCAACATTCGCTGACAAAGAACTTTCCAGATGGCTTCCACAGGATATATCAGAAGTGGATAGAACGACATCAGCTGTGTGTGAAAGCTAACTACTTTGAACATGAAATAGAATGCTAACTTGAAAGTAGAAATGTGGAGTAGCCACAGAACTATGGTTGAAATACAGACAGGACAGAAACTAACGTTAACAATATCTACTATGCAGTGAACTTATAAAATTGCTCCGCAGAACCCATATTCGCGTTACTATGACAACCACCATTTTGCTGTTATTCATTATATCTTGATCATTTTTTCAGGATAGTTAGAAAAGTGTCTGATGCTTCTCCACTGAAAATTTGAACGATGATAGACAAGACATAAAAGTTTGAGAGCAAAATTAGCTTTACTTACTGAACGCCCTGTACAAATGGATGATTTTAAGATTATACCGAACTGTCATGAATATTTGAGCATTCCATTTGGTGGGTGGAGCTTTGGTTGTTAATGTTTTCCATCCTGTAATTCAGATAGAGACGCACAAATGTACGTTTTTGAAAAGCAGTTTGAGCGAAAGTATCATAAATTATTTTATTTCTACAGTGTATGTTGCCATGGATATATATTAGAATATACCGCTATAACTGTAAAGAACTGTCAGCAATAATGTTTTATTATAAAACAAATAAGTATGTTGCCATGGATATATATTAGTATATACCGCTATAACTGTAAAGAACTGTCAGCAATAATGTTTTATTATAAAACAAATAAGTATGTTGCCATGGATATATATTAGTATATACCGCTATAACTGTAAAGAACTGCCAGCAATAATGTTTTATTATAAAATAAATATTCGGAATTATATTCACATCTGTGATCGAATGATAACTTTGTATTAAAAACTCAATACAATTAAACCCAACATTGTCATACACTGTTAAGCTGTTTTCTATTTTATAAACCGGGAAATTGTTGAAACATTCCTTTTTCTTTAAAGCTAGCAACTTTTTTGAATTAATATTTCGTATCATCATCTTTCGCCATTGTCGAATTTCAGCTGCGTTCATTATGTAATTTAGGTTGAATACGAAATCGTGCAGTGAGTTATGACAATTAAACCCTTGAATTGCACTTGCTATATATACGGCACCATTTTTTGACCAAAGTATCATTATTACATATGTTTATGAAATCCACCGAAGTGGTGTCAAAAATTGGCCCCAGTGGATAATAACAGGCTTCGAGAATTTTGCATGTTTCCATTGAGCCCCATGTTAATTCATCAATCTTCAAAATACCCCCTGCAGAACAGTTCAAGAGCAATAAAGTCAATCTTCCTAGTATGTAACCATGACTCAAATGTCTTCAAGATAAGAAGGGTTACAAACCGAGATTTTGTCTTGTTCAAAAGATATTGGTGTTTGAATTTTGGAAAATTCCCATTGACTGCCATTATAAACTACTCTCAATATGGCTTTACTAAAGGGTCATTTTCTCCAAAAGTCCAATATGGAATTTTCTGATGTTGCAGATTTCTACAGCCAATATATTGACTTTCAAAAAACCAAACAGGTACATTTCTAAAAATTTCTTATTTTTAATATATCTATTTATTAGTTGCTTACGAAAACTCCATTGAGTCCCATGTTAATTTATCAATCTTCAAAAGACCCCCTGCAGAACAGTTCAAGAGCAATAAAGTCAATGTTACTAATATGTAACCATAACTTGAATGTCTTCAAAATAAGAAGGGTTACAAGTTATATTTTATCTAGTTCAAAAGATATTGACGATTGAATTTTGGGAAATCCCCATTGACCGCCATTATAAACTTCTATCAATATGGCTTTATCAAAGTGTCTCCAAAAGTTCACTATGGAATTTTCTGATATTGCAGATTTCTATAGCCAATATATTGACTTTTAAACACTCAAACTGGCACATTTCTAAAATTTTTGATTTTTAGTATATCTAGCCATTAAGGTGCACATGAAAACTCCCACTGGCTGCCATTATAAACCGCAGTCAACATGACTTTACTAATAAAGTGCCATTTTCTCTAGAAGTCCACTATGGAATTTTCTGATATTGCAGATTTCTATAGTTGATATATTTACTTTTTAAAAACCGAACAGGCACATTCCTAAAAATTTCTTGTTTCTTGGACGTTTGGAGAAAAGTACACTTTATTCGTAAATCCATGTTAGCAGTTTATAATGGCAGCCAATGAGGGTTTTCGGTCAACTTAAGGGTTAAATATGTTAGAAATAAGAAAGTTTTAGAATTGTGCCTGTTTTGTTTTTTAAAATTCAATACATTGGCTATAGAAATCTGCAATATCAAAAAATTCCATAGTGGAATTTTGAAAAAAATGACACTTTAATAAGGCCATATTGAGAGCAGTTTATAATGGCGGTCAATGGGAATTTTCCAAAATTCAAACACAAATATCTTTGGAACGAGACAAAATCCAGCTTGTAGCCCTTCTTTTTTGAAGACATTTAAGTCACGGTTACATACAAGGAAGATTGACTTTATTGTTCTTGAACTCCTCTACAGGGTGTCTTTTGAAGATTGATAAATTAACATGGGACTCAATGGAAACATGCAAAACTTTCGAGCTCTGTTATTATCCACAGGGGCTATTTTTTAACACCACTTCGGTAGATATCAAAAACATATGTATTAATGATACTTTGGTCAAAAAATGGTGACGTATATATAGCAAGTGCAATGAAAATGCTAACTGACTGCACTAAAACCAAATACAAACTTTGTACAACATGAACGTTTCTAAATATACTGTAATATATTTATATAAATTATTGAAAAATATCTTGACAATTACCCATCATTTATCAAGACAAATTTCGTTAACTTCAAGACGATCTTCTTAATGAGATTTACTACACGTTTTTAACTATAATGCCTAACATGTCTTCAATCAATAGAGAAAAATTATACAACATTTTGTTCAAGATATGAACGCCATATGGAAAGATAGTAAAATACAATTTCAATTGTCGATCGAAATATCATAACTTGGAAATTTCTTGATAAAAATGTTCGATCGTTTAGGAGAAAATACCCACTTTGCGATTAGAAACCAAAATCAAGGGTATTTATGTTATATTTCTGGTGAATGTTTTCGTTCAGCACCATTTTGTTTCTCATTAGGTCGGTGTATGGCCATTCTGC